GAACTTTTAGCCCACGACACAATGACACATATATCACCAGCAAAAATTTCAATTATAAATTATGAATGGTTGCTGAAAAATCTAACCCCATTTTTTTACCTATAATAAATTTTTTTAAAATTTTAAATTTTTATAAATTTTTTTAGCTTTAAATAGTATATTATACAATTTGAAAAAAAAAAAGCATTTGTCAAAGTTGAATAGAAATTTTTTTTTTAAATTACTGTATCTTAATTAAAAAATACGCCATCATTAGATTCTTAGGAATTTTTTACTTCCTTATTTTTCTAAAAACTAGATAAATTCCCCTAATTTTTTTTGCAGATATCTGAATTCCCTGATCTGTCAGACACCTTGATATATGTTCATTAAACTATAGCCCATATTTTATACCATATTACTGAAGTTTGAGGAAGAGCCATTTTTCCCTAATTTATCTGATTTTTTTTTTTTTTTTTTTTTTTTAAGTGTAATTTATTTCGCCGTTAAAGAATGTTTACATTGCATATACATATATCAAAATTAATGGCAGGAGCAAAAAGAAGGCACATTTTGCCTTATCGCCGAGCCCCACATATAAAAAAAAACTCTACATAAAAAAAATTCTACATAACCGTAACATACAAATGTATATAACATAAATATATAAAATATAGGTCAGAATTAAAACAGAAAATAACTGAGAAAATTAAGAAATTCAAAGTAGCAAATAACTAAGAATTGTCGAAATGCTAGCAACCGCTAAAATGTTTTAAAATCATTTAAACAAAAAGTTTTAAATAAGAATAAAATTTCATTATTAACATTATCACAAGATGAATTTTTAACATCATTACTTAAATTTGATTGATATAAATAAATTTGTTTTTATTTGATTAAATTTTAAAAGAAACATTTGAAGTCAGATAAATTAAGATCCCTGAATAGTAATAATTGTTTTGACTCATTTTTAAATTGTTCTAATGTAGTATTGTTTTTGTTGACAATCTCTGGGATTTTTTCCACAGATAAGGTCCGCGATATTTAATTGAATAGAAGGTTAATTTTAAATTATACTTGAAAACTTTGTTGAATATTTATGATTAATTTTATTAAAATAGGTTTGAAAAATTATTGGGGCAATCCCATTTTTGTTTTAAACATAAACAATAAAACTTGGTGTAAATTGAGTTTATACACATTTAAAGCACCGAGTGCACGTAAAAGTGGTTCGCAAGGAGTATTTCTGCAGGCTCCAAACACTATTCTGCATGCATGTTTTTGTTTGTTGTAGATTTTCTTAAGTTTTGTATAGCCAGTACTAGCCCACACAATATTACAGTAAGACAAATAGCTGTGAATAAAGGCAAAATACAATTTTTTCAGGGATGCTACATTTAGAAAAGGTTTAGCCTTATAAATCATTGCGATATTTTTTGAGAGTGTTGTTTCAATACTATTTATATGAGAATACCACAGTAAATTTTCATCCAGTTTTACTCCTAAAAAATTTACGTTTGTTTCCCTTTTAATATAAGTATTATTAATTATAAGATTTGGTAATTTTATAGGTATGTTTTCTGATTTATTTACTTTATGGAAGAGTATATATTTTGTTTTATCCACATTTAATGAAAGTTTGTTACTTACGAACCATTCATTAACTTTACATAACTGTTCATTAACTATTTTAAAAAGTGTTTTAATATCTCTGTGAGAATAAAAAAGATTGGAATCATCAGCAAACAAAATTAGGTCTAAAAGATTTGTTGCTAGGTATAAGTCATTTATGTACAATAGAAATAAGAGTGGTCCTAAAATTGAGCCCTGAGGAACCCCGCAAGTTATGGAATATGGAATTGTGTTATTTTGATCATAATATAAAAATTGCCTCCGGTTTGTTAGATACCCTTTGAACAAAAGTAAGTTTTTATTTTTCACTCCATAGTTTTCAAGTTTTTTTATTAGAATATTGTGATTTACGTTATCAAAAGCTTTTGACAGATCAATGAAAACTCCTAAAGTAAAACAGTCATTATTAAAGGCGTTAGATATTTGATTAGAAAGTTCAACTATTGCATGTTCTGTGGAATTTTTTTTTTAAAACCAAATTGCTTGCAATACAACATGTCGTTCTCAGTTAGATAATTATATAACCTATTATACATTATTCTCTCTAGCAATTTTGAAAAGCAAGGTAGTATGGATATAGGCCTGTAGTTTAAGATATTTGACTTATCTCCAGATTTAAAAATTGGTGTTATACGGGCAATTTTTAGTTTGTCAGGAACAATACCTGTTTTAAATGAAAGATCAAAAACATGAAATAAAGAAGGTTCAATAATATCAAATATTGATTTGACAATATCAATACTAATTCTATCAAAACCTTCACTTTTTTTACTTTTGAGACTGCTAAATGCAGCACTCAGCTCGCTAAGTTTTAAACTAGTTTCATCCATAAGTTTGTCATAAGTTTTTAAGTATGAATCAAAAGGAGTGGAGTTAGATGGAATTTTAGCAGCCAATTTCGGACCAATATTGACAAAGTAGTTGTTTAGTTCTTCAGCTATAATAGATTTATCATAAACTAATTTTCCATTAATTAAAAGATTTTTTGGCAGAGTGTTTTTTTTGTAATTATTTTTTCCAATTAAATCCTTAATTACATTCCATACTTTTTTAGTGTTTCCGTTGTGTTTTTTTAATAACTGAGCATGATAAAGCTTTTTTGAGTATCATTTTATTTTTTCGAATATATTTTTGCAATTTTTATAAGTTATTTCATTTTTATAAGATTTTTTTTTAAGATACTTTATATATAATTTTTCTTTCTTTTTTGAAGATTTTAGTAAGCCTATTGACATCCAGGGATTTTGAAGTGATTTGGTATTTATGATTATTTCTTTTTCTGGAAACGCTATTTCATACTGCTTGCAAAATTGACCAAGAAACAAGTTATAAGCATTGTTAGCATCACTATTATATTTAAAGGTCATCCGTTTTTCTACGGAAAATGAAACGAAAAAATAATCACGTGAGTATGCGCAGTATTCTTTCAGAAAAATAAAAACTTTGATTAGGCATGCTCACGTGATTATTTCTTCCTTCCCTATCCAGTAGAAAAACGGAGAAGTGGAAAATCACCTTATCTGAATTTTTAGTTCGTAATTATTTTCAGTGAGAAAATCGGTAGATGATAGAATCAAAAACCTATTCGGACGTTTAAATTTCGTGTAAAATGATGATCCGAAAATATATTAATGTTTTGAATAATTTCGTAGCGTAAAAAACAAAGTATATATTTATAATTTACTACCCTTTGAGTAAATAGTAGTCTTCCCAGCAAACATTTGATCTAAAAAAGACGTTTTTTATGTCTTTTAAACGTATTAATTGTTTTTAATACGTATAAAAGACGTCTATCTTAGTCATTTGTGCACTCATGTTATACTTTTAAGTTTTTTGCATTGTCTATGACTTTTATCAATAAAAAGTTAAAAGCTTTCCAACTGCAACAACTTAATAAGAAAGTTAATACTAATCATATTCCGTTATAAACCAAATACATACTTTCTCTTTTATGAAGTCCTGGGGCTAACTTTTGCAAAAATACTCTAGCAAGAATAATACAATATAATACTCAACCTTCAACATTCTTTAAGGTATACTTATTAACTGCTTCTAGAATTTATTTTATTAACTAACTATTCACTGCGTTTTAGAGTAAAGCAGAAATTTTCAAAATTTGATAACCCAGTGTGTTATTAAAAAAGCCTTTAAGTTAGCAGTAATCCTTCAGCCTGATTATCTTGAGAGTTAAACCTTTAGAATTTAACTGAACTTCTACTGACTGGCACAAGATTTATTCTTGACTTCGTTAAAGAAAAGTGAAAAAAAAAAATGAAATCTTGAATAACAATTAAAAATAAATAAAAAATTAAGATATTTTCAGGCAATCTGTCCTTTTGATTACTTATTACGTTTTGTTTGAAAAGATTGTTTTAAATTGTTTTGCTTGAAAAGTTGTTTTAAGTATCCATACTTACATTTTAGGTAGGCTCTCTTGTCAAACCGTAATTCCGACGCTGTCCTTGAGGACAGCGTCGGAATTACGGTTTGTTATTATTAAAAATTATTTAAAATTAAAATTATTTATTTATATTTAATTTATTTTAAGTATTAAATATATTAATTTATATTAAATATGAAAAATATTCAAGTTATTATTTAAAATTAAAAAGTCGTTTTTTTTACATTTTCGGACCTTGAGGTCCGAAAATGTAAAAAAAACGACTTTTTAATTTTAAAGAGAACCGGCCTAATCCAAACCCTCAGTCGTTGTTTCCACACTCCGCTGCATGTTCTCCCTAAAAGTCAGCCAGCGTATGTGCACACCGCAGCGCAAATCCCTATATACCCCATTTAGCTATTTTCTAGAAATACAAGCTCGCAGACGCAATGGACGCTCAACGTCGGAATAGGGGTTTGACAAGAGAGCCTACCTACATTTTATTAATTCAAATTACTTACACTTATTTGTTACTGCAATATTTTATTAGTCATTAAAATGATTTCGATACTTAAGCATTAATTATTAACAGGTCTAGATTTTATAAAAAACGAGAAACCTAGATTTATTCACTGGAAATTTCAAGCGAATGTAAGGTAATTTCTAGATTTTTAGGCTATTTCATCAATTTGCCATGATTGGTGAAAGACTCTTATACACAAAACCAGTAATAATTTTTTCCTAAATGGGTTTTTCCATTTTGTAGTTAACTTCAAGGACGAAAAAATGTTATTAAAAATAAGGAAATACATATTTTAATAAGGACTTTATAGTAAGTTGTTACTAGAAAATCTATATATTCCTTTTGCGAGTTTACGACAGGTCGAGTCGAGGAAAATTAGGCGGTAAAATATTAATAGTAATTCACGCTTTGAATTTAATACAAAATCACTAATATAGTTACGCATTTCGCAACTTGTTTCAAAATCCTTAACGATTAATACAACACTTTTCGCTTAGCATCTATATTCAGTGGAATTGCCCATGTTAATAATCAAAGAAAAATTACACCACATTTAGATCTTTTCTTGATTTAAAAACGTAATTTTTGGAAAAACCATTTGTTTTTGCCGCTTTTGTATCTAAAAATATAAAGAAACATAAAGAGTGGTTGATAAGCTTAAGGTCACCAGCGGCGGCGGATCGATTAATGGAGGAAAAGGACAACTCAATATTTTAATTGGGGCTTCCTTTTATTTATAAGAAATCACAAAAGCTTTCACCGCCACTGAATAACACTATTATTAGCAACTTTAAAAAAAAAAAAAATCTCAAAATAATTTCTGGATAAAAAAAAAAAAAAAAAAAACAATCCTTACCGTTCTTCTAGTTTAGCTTTAATTTCTGTTTTAGCACGTCGTCGTTTGCTGCCATCTTTTAATATGTCCTTATTAACTTTATTTTTATTTAGAGCAACATCCACAGAATATCTAAGAAAATACAAAACAATATACATATATATAATAATAATAATAATATATAAATAATATATATAATAATAATATATATAATAATAATATATAAATAATATAATGTATAATAAATAATATATATATATATATATATATAAAATACAAAATAAATAGGTAAAATGAATGTAATTTGAACAAATATAAATAGGTAAAATAGATGCAATATGAACATAAAAATCACTTTCTTAAGAAATTCTTGAAACACCAGTAAGGGTTCAGCAACAAAAATTGAAACACTAACTTTTGCTCTGCAAAATTTGAGACTACAAATAACTTTTTACAAGTGTGGCTTTAATGTAGCATTTATACAAATATTTTCTTACAATCAAATGTCCTTAAAGAATGTTTTGCAGAATGAAAATTTTTATTTTAATACCATCAATAAAAAAGATTTTTAAGCATAACCAAAACTGCATTTAAATATAACGAAACAGTAGTTTTAACAGTTTGTGTTTATCTAATAGGCTACCAGTACATTTAAGCATCATTAAAATGCTATTTTAATTGCATTTATTTTTAAAGATTAATTGCATTTCTCTATAAAAAATTTTTTTGATTACAATCGAAGATGTCTGCCTGTCAGATATATATATATATATATATATATATATATATATATATATATATATATATATATATAGAAATTTTAAATAAATAATAAATAATCTATATTATATATTATGTATCTATATTATATATAGATAATTTATTATTTATTTGAAACTCTAATTTTTTTTATATAACTTTTATCAAAATAAAATGAAGTTTAAATAAATTATTTAAATAAAAAAAAAATTTAAATAAAATAAAGAGTAGTGTAAGCTGTCATAGTGCATATATAACCATATGCCTGTTGCAGTTTAACTTGATGTAGTATCTATATTACTTTTACTATATAACTGTGTCTATATAGGCCTCGACAGGAAAGAGTTTTAACTCTTGCCTACACTCTCCTAAAATGGTTTACAGGAGCAACTTTATGGGAGCACTTATTCAATTACACATGTTTTTATTTAGATTCCATTAACTGATAAAAATAAAATTATTACACTCTAAATTATATTGACAAAATATAAAATTATTTATTACACTTGATATACTATAACAACTTTTATTTTACGTAATGAATTATATATTTTATACATTATTTACTTTAATATAACGTTCACTTTTATTGTGGAATTTTAAATTGCTGTAATAATTCTTAATATGAAAGAATTTTAATAAAACAAGCTCTTTGTAAAATTTTTCATCAAACAATTAATGTTGTTAACAAGTGAATGGATAGCTAATGTGAAAAACCAAAGACAACGCTCGTCTGAAAAAACTTTCACTGCACAATGACAATTATGTATACATACTTGTAATATAAGCTGACCAGAGGTTTTTGATGAAATCCGGGGACATTTAAATAAAAATCAGGGGCATTTGAAATTGTACTAAAAAAATACAATAAATCACTTTTTAATAAAAAGTTTACTGTCAGATCTTAATCATTTTTATTTATACTAATACGGAGACTATTTCGGCAAAAACCTTGCAGATGGTCAGCTTATTGTAATAATAATGTTGCAAAGATATGCTCAGCCACAACAAATCAACAAACAGGCGAACGTTTGTTAAAAAAGACAGAAAAACGAACATCATGCTTCTGTACTTTTACTTAAGCAAACGTATATCTCGAGCAATTTTAAATAACATATTTGTTATATAAAAAAAAAGTTAATAAAATTTAAAACACATTTTCAATGACTTAAAAAGAAACCATTATAATACTAATACTTTCTTCAATAGCAATACTTTTAAGGATAATAATTAAGTACGCAACTGAAAAAAGTAATTATTTGAACATGTATTCAAAATAGCACAAAAAACTTTAGTTAAAATGAAGGCATGACATTACTTTATGCGAAACCAAGATAAACCAACGATTTTTTGTAAAATTCTTATTATCGTTAAAATGATGTTTGCTTGCTTTTTCAAAGTTTTGCAGAAAATTTTGATAGAATATATAGAACTATGTTTATAATAGTTTTTATTTTTTTTTACTGTGCGTTTAACAACACCAATATGATATTTTATTATTAAACACTAGATATTTTAAATATATCATTTTAAGTATTTAATAACTTAATATAATAACAAAATACTTAATATTTTATTATTATTTATTAAATAGTTTAAAAAAGAAATGTCAAAATATTTTTAATTTCCTTTTATTTATATTTCTTCAAGTTTAAAAGTTTTTTTTAGTTAAGTATATCATCTTTGATATACTTAACTATTAATTATCTTACTAACTAGAATAAAACTTATTTGAAAATAAAACTTCCTCATAATTTAATCAAATTAATATTAAAAAAAGGCTTATTTATGATTGACGACACGGGGGTGTTTAAAGTGGAGGTCAACAAGTCTTATATCTAGAATTTCTCTATGAAAAAGTGTGTAGGAGAGGAGGGATGCACATCATCCCCTCTTGATGTTTTTTCGATACTTTTTTGACAAAAAGTACTAAATATACTACAGATTATCCAATTTTGAGTTCTATCAGTCTTACAAAATAAGTAATAAATTTTTTTTACAAAATAACTTTTTTCATTAATATAAATTTTTTTTCTTTTGACCAAGAAGGTGTGCAATTTTAAGATTTTTTTTTGACACTCTAACAACATTTTATTTTGATTTAACCATAGTTTTTAACATATACACTGAAAAATTGGTTTTTAATTACGTTGTAAATAAATAACTTGGCTGTGTTTTTTTTTTTTACTAACATTTTTATATTTGCAAAACACTTTTAATCGAAAAATCAATATTGTATAAATTTTTATTTGTATTTAATATAAGATTTTTTAACAATTAAAGTATTGTAAAATATTACATGTGATAATATTGTAAATAACAATGGTCTCTTTTAACCTCTTTATAAGGTTCATTTAATTAATTCACTCAAAATACAAAAAGATTTTGTTGAGAAGAATTGTAAAGAACCTTTTTTAACTTTTAAATGTGTGCATTTATTAAACAGTTATTAAATTTATTTAGGAGTTTAGCATAATATTATTTTATAAACACATTGGTAAAGATAAATGATATTTTTATTGCATTTGTATTTAGTTATTAGTTATATATAGTTATTTATTGCAAATGTAGTTTAAATAATCTTACTATATAGTATTTGCATGGTCATGTTAAAATGTGAAATTGCACACCTTCCTAGCCAAGCTGATAAATAAGTTTAAAATATATCTTATATGCGAGTATACTACGTAATATCGAAAAAACATCAAGAAATAGTCTTTTAGCACTAATAATTTACTTATTTAATATTTAGCTAAGTTATAAAAAGTGGCGTTATAGGCTCAATAAGTAATACAATACTTAAAAAGATTTTGAAGTATGAAAATTTAAAATTAAAATAAATCTTTTTAAAAAAATAAGAAGCAAATAATATATGACATTAAGAAGTAACTGTAATTATTATAACTTTATAAAATGGAACTTTAAAGAACAGAATTATTTATAGGCATCATATCTAATTGATTAAAGTTGCAAAACTTGCTTTAATCTTTAAACTATTTGTAACTACATATTAATAAAGAAAATATGACAAAAACCTATTTAAGCCACATAAGTGTTGACATTCAATACAAACAAGAAATAAATCTTCAACTATCAACTTTCACAAAATTTTATGAGAATGAATTGTTTTAATATTAATTATAACTTTCTAATAATATATAGCATTCAACCTAATTTTCAAACTTTGTGTGTATGTATGTGTGTGTGTGTATATATATATATATATATATATATATATATATATATATATATATATATACAAACGTGTAATTTAAAGTAAAACTTGCACAGTATAATTAAATATTTAAACTTAAATATACTATTAATGATACTATGTATAAATGTGTGTATCTATGTATATGTGTATATGTGTATATGTGTATATGTATATATATATATATATATATATATATATATATATATATGTATATGTATATGTATATGTATATGTATGTATATATATATATATATATATATATATATATATATATATATATATATATATATATATATTCTAATTTATTCCCTTTATATAAATACACTAATATATAAGCACTTTTTAAATAAGATATTATTTAAGAAGATAGTAACATAACTGATAAAACTGAAATTTAAAATTTGAAAATACACAAAGCAATTTTTGATTTGAAATTACTAATAATAATTGATTTTAAGTTTTAACTTTAAAATTAAAAAATAAAATTTTAATTACCTAGTAGGCATAAGATGATTATAATTTATAACTTTGATAAATGATTTTATTTTGGATCTTTTGGTAACCTTTTTCTTTCCCATGGGTTTCGTTACCCTTAATGGATACTTGTCTATACCAGCAACCAAAGCGTGGCCATATGGGCGATCTTGGGTGCCATCATCGTAATTCTTTACAATAATAGCTTTTCTACCAGCATAACGTCCACCAAGGACGAGAACAACCTTACCAGCTTTCATAAACTTGCCCATCTATGACAATTATGGAAACAATTATCAAACAAATCATTCTTAATGCTAATCAACAATTCAAAGAAAATTCACTGCAATAAGTAAACAGATTGATAGAAAAATAGCCACATAAAGCATATCAATAAATCACCGAAGCAAAAACAAAAAAATGCCAAGGATATCATTGGATTTATAAAAGTTAGTTTCACGTCCATCTTACCGTACTTAGGTTGTACTAAAAAAGAACAGTCGCTTTAGCCTTACTTATTAATCTTTGTAGCATTACTGAGGCACGGACGTCGTGACGTTAATTATAACCCGACGCGTTGGATTTAATATAAAGGGCTTGTTAAGATTTTATTATTACTATTTTATTAATCAAGCTTTGTAAAATATATTTACAAAGTAAAAATACAAACTAAGAAAAAAGAGAGATAAAAAGTATCATTGTTTAAAAAGCAGATAAATAGAATTATTTTGTTTTGGTGTATATACTTTGAAATTAGGGATAGTTCTTTTACTTACTACACGAGTAAGTTAATTTCTATCAAAAAGTAAATTAATTTTAAACGCTTTATGTAAATTTACATTTCTGTATAAGAAATAAATTTTTTTGAAACGACTTTTACTTTATAATGTAAGTTTTTTTACTTTCAAAAGCAAGTTATGTAAAAAAAGATTACATCAAAAAGTAATTTACTTTTACATGTAAAAGTAAGTCACATGAAAAAGCTGTTTTTTTTTTACTTTTAAAAGTTAATTACTTTTGAAAATTACAATACATAATATAAAAGATCCTCAAACTGAAATTTACATTTACCTACAAAAATAACAAAATAAAAAAAATTATATTAGGGTAACTTAATCGAACCTCGCCCACATCCGCACTTAAATTGATGTTGACAGGTTATTATTAGACTTGCACAGCTAAACTATACATCATTAGATAGCTTATTCCTTCAGCTACAAAACTATGTAAAATTATTTAGATTTTATGAGAGTAGTTGGCCGTACCATTATAAATTGTACAGTGTGTCTCGCCCATTTGAACTCAATCTCGCCATGTTGATTTAAAGTCGCCCACTGTGTAAATAAAAAAGAACTTATACTTGCGTAGGGCGACGTTATATACAGGTGAGTGAGATTAAATATCGTTAGTTAATTTTTATGCTCAACTGTACCATTTTAAATAGAAAAGTATAAAACCATGGGGTTTTTGTGAATGCGAACTTTCTCCCTAGATTCTGACTTGAATCTGGATTCTGAGATCAATCTCAATTGTAATTGTAAAATGTGTAAATAAAGTATAGTTTTCAACACATCAATGCTTACGAGCCGTAGTGATATGACAAATATTGTCTTATTTTTGCCCCAGTCATGAGATTAATTTTTATATTGGGCAGCCATGGCGTAGTGATTAGAGCATGGTACATGTGTAAGGGTTGCGAGTTGGAATCCTGCTCGAAACACTTATACGTGATCGGTAAAGCTTGAAATGGGGTACCAACTCATTAAATGGTGAAGCCCTTGAAGCGGTGTTTATTGATAAGACCATTAGGTTTTATCACAAATAAGACCATTAGAGAATTGTTAAATAAAAATAATAAAAAAGTTTATATAGATAAGACGAAATTGTATGCATTTTTAGTTATATAAAAAAAAATTGTAAAAAATTTAGTACATATTAGTCAGTATTGTTCTCAGGATCAACCAATGGTTGAAATTCAGATGATAATGAAATAAACTTCTTTTTTGTTGTTGCTATAGACTTGTTGGCACGGTTATCTAATTTTTTTTTCTAAGTCAATACCTTTTTTCTTCTTTTTCTTTGAGTCGCATAGCAGCATTAACAAATCGCAGTTGTTTTTTTTTCGCTTTTTTTTTTTTTTTCAAGATTTCTTTTTTTTTTTTTTGCTTAGTAAGATTGGTAAAACTATTCACAATGCAGTCAACATTTTTTTCTTTAACTGGATTGACTAAATATGCAACATTTTTTTTTTTTAACTGGATTGATTAATAGCTGATTATTATGAACAACAGTCTCTGCTTCCAAAAGAAGTGTTGCTTTGTAACAAACTGTGAGTTGCGTTATCTTCTTCAGTGCCATTTTGTAATTTAGCATTAGCTCTAGATAATTAGCAACTTTTTCAGCATTTATAGAAGCATCAATGTTTAAAAAATTAGTTTCTTGAACAATTGATAGTTGGAATGCCTAAGAAAATAATAAACAATATTATTGAAATGCAAATTAGTAAACTTTATGCTTCATTCAGAATTTTTATCCATTTATGCATTAAATATCAGTCACAGTTGCTAGCTAAAGTTTGAATAATAGTTTCTATTGTATAATAGTATTAGCAAAAACACGATAGTACAATATTAAACCAAAGAACAATTGTTTTCAGTTATATTAACTGATTTATCATCAGCTAAGTGTAGACAGCTTGGTAAATATGCATCACTAGGAATAGTCTGGGGATTAAACGGATAAATTCCACCCGACTTAAACCCAAATGTAATGTTGCTAAAAATCATTGCTTTTTCTCAAGCTGAAGCAAATATCTCTGCAAAATTTAAACAACAAATAATAATTCCTGGAAACTAACCCATCAGATCTTGTTGTAGAGGAATAATTATCCTTCAGTGGCTTGAATAAGGTGCGGTCGCATGGTTGCAGCCAGTTTGATGTGTGTGAAGGCGTTTCAACTATATGTATCTGGTTCTAAATAGCATTATCAATTAGCTCAATAAAGTTGTGAGAATCGTGTCCATCCAGAATCAATAACTGAGGACGTTGTAGACCAATGTTTTCTAAAAATGCCTTGGTAAACCATAGTTTGTTAGGCCCTATTTAGTCTAACCACTATCGGACCAGCTCCAATTTGTTTCCAGAGGCGCGAACTCAGTGTTAAAACCCCATAAAGACCTGAATGTTTTTCCCTTCACTATAAACTGGGGTGGAATGAACTTACCCTGTGCATTCTTACATGCAATAACAGTGATTAACTCTCGATGTCCACTCGTTCGACTATGGAGGTTTTTTGTGCCTTTACTTGCAACCGCTTTTCTTGGTTTTACATCAAGTTGTAGACCAGTTCCATCCATATTCCATATGGATTCTAGTTTAACGTGAAAACCAGTTTTCACCATGACGTCATTTAGAGCACTAAAGCACTTTGACACTTTATCTTTATCTATAAACTGATGTTGAACTGAAGCTGTACCCTCAGGTTATCGCAGAGAATATTTATTGCCATTCCGGTATTTAACCCTAGTCCACTAATGGTTGCTTGGAAGTCCTTTCTTGAAATTGAATTTATGTTTTGCGGCAAATTTTCCAGCATAATTCAGGAATTGTGACTTTCTTAAACCTACCTCTAACTTTGCTCTATTACTGGCATACCCGATAAATTTTTCTTTCAAAGCAAAAGGTAGGATAGGTATTCTTCCTGACTTTGCTCCAATAACAACTTTTCCAGAAAGTCTCTCAGTGTTGTACGTGGCACATTGTACAATACAGCTGTCTTACGCAGTGAAAATGATGGCTCTGATCTGACATGCTTAATTGCACTAATCATATTTTTTTCACTCCATTTCAGGAATTTGCCCCGTTTCTTAACAGTGACTGATTGATCAATGAACTGATTGGAGCCATTAACACGAGTTAAAGAAACATCAATTACATTTGGTAGCATATTACATAAAAGAAATACGCTACCAAATGTAAATTAAATATTCAAATAAAATAATATTTTTTAAGTATGAATTTTTTATTTTAAAAGTAATAAAAAATTTTTTATTAAAATTAAATTATATAAAAAAAAATTTAAATTACATAAGCTTACATTTTATATAAATTGCAAAGTAAAACAAAAGTATATTATGTAAAGTAAGTAAATAAATTTACTTATATTTTACAATAACTTTGACAGGATCTTGTACAAAAGTAATGCAAAAAAGTAAAATTTAGTTTACTAACATTTAGTTTGCCGCAACATTTGAATTTCGCAGTTTTAGATATTTCTTCCCCAGGGCCGGCGACACGGGTTTTGAAGTGGGAGGGGGGGGGAGGGGGGTACAATTATCAATTTGTGAAAAAAGTCCTCTATATCAAGATTTTTCTTCACAAAAAAAAGGGTCTTTATAAATAAAGTGGGTAGGACTCGTGCCCCCTGAACCCCCGGTGTCGTCGGCCCTGTTCCCTGTTCAAAAATCTCCCGATCGGCAGTTAGCGAGTGTTTTCACACTTACTGTCATAGTAAGTAGAAACCATGTAAAAATAACAGTAAAATTTTAAAAGATCAAAAGTTTTTGCGAGTGGTTTCTATTGGCACAGACATTTTGAATTTTATTTATAATAAAACAAAGCGTATGTTTATGTACCTCATCCAGGGCCGGCGCGAGTAGGTGTCACGTGGGGTGTGTGTGTGTGTGTGTGTGTGTGTGTGTGCCATTATAACTTTTGCCGACTAAAAAAAAAAAAAAGTCCTCGTTTTCGAAAATTTGCCGACTGTCTAAACTACCGACTAACCTATTTCGAAAGGGTCGACATTTTGCCGACTTACTGGTCGAAAAGGGTCAAATTTGCCGACTAAGGGTCAAATTTGCCGACTAAAAATCATTGATGAGAGGGGGGGGGAGTAACACCCTTCCCCACACACACCCTTCGCGCCGGCCTTGACCTCATCCTACCATTTTTAAAACTATATCTTGAGATTATACTTTTACATTAATAACATAATTGATATTTGCAGAAAAAAATTTACAAAAATTGGACACTCTAATTATAATTGTACTTCTGACTAAAAATTAATTATTAAATAACTAAAAATCTATATGTAAAATAATTTATTAAACTTAAAATTTTGTAAAACATCAAAATTTAAATCCAAAAATCTCCAAAAATAATTTAAAGAAATTATGAAATACAAGTAATCTGATTAGTAAATAAAATTAAGGGAAAATTCTTCTAAGAAAATGCTGCTATAAAAATTATATAATTGGTTTGTAAATGAAGGTTCTTTTGATTTTGTTGCAAGAAAGTAAGTCGTCAAGTACAGCCTGCCAATACCTAAAAAACAAAAATAAAAAATTACTACTTTCCTATCAATTTATCATACATGTTCTATTTTCATTCAATTTGTAAACTCTATTTTATAAATCTACACACACTGTAATTTGCATAGCTTTTTGAACAGCCAAGCTTTAGATGTATTGTGGATTAAATAGGTAACCTTAACTTAAACTTAAACCAATAGAATAATTTATTAAACCAATATAATAACTTAACCTTAACCAAAAGAACTACTATATACAACTACACCTTAATTTATGAAAATAAAAGAAAAAGCATAATATTAGGAAAGACGCCTATTGATAAAGGTGCTTATTGATATTTTTTTACAGGTAATATTTACAAAAACTAATAGAAACAAATTTTTTATTTTCATATTCTTATCTTTTTTATGAAGGTTATGAAAATATCTTGAAATGATATAAATAAAATCCAAGTCTAAAAAAATATAATTTCTGAAATTAAGATATAATCAAAATGCAAAAGGATTTTCAGAAATAAGATGAAACCAAAAAATTTGTTGCTTGTAACGGGTGATTCATAAACAATGATACCGTTTTGTATTGATTAATTTTGGCCTCTGTAGTACAAAGTATGAACTGCACATGGTCTTAGATAGAGAATCTATTTTCTGCGCGCACGCAAGTGAATCAGTAAACAATGAAAAGTCAAGACTTGCAAAATGTTGTAATTTCAAAGTATAAAAATGGTGATGGTCCAACTAAAATTTTTCGTGATTTGAGTGGCACTCTTAGCTTACCAACAATCAAAAGATAGTGCAAAATGATTGCCAAAGATGGTACAATCAAACTTTCAAAACCTCCTGGTCGTCCTCACACAGCTCGAATAAAAGCAACTATCCAAAAAAAAAAAAAAAAACGGCTGAAACGGAAGAAAAAGCTAATTTCTACACGAAAATTGGCAAACGAACTCGATATTTCTCAACCAAGTGTTTATCGTGTTCTTAAAGATGATATTCAGCTTCGATCCTACAAAAAAGTTGTCCAACCACTATTATCCGATGACCACAAAGAAAAGAGAGTTAAATTTGCAAATTGGATTCGTAACAATTATCGAAAAGCTGATACGATGCGAATACTTTTTTCTGACGAAAATTTTTTTGATATTGATGGTATTTATAACTCTCAAAATGACAGAATACGGGCTTCAAATCGTGTTGAAGCTGATAGCATTGGAGGAATCAAGCAGCGAAGAAAATTTCCTGAACGTGTTATGGTTTGGTTAGGAGTTTGTTCAAAAGGTGTATCACCATTAGTTATTTTTGAAAAGAGTACCGTTAACCATGAAAGGTATAATAAAGAAGTTTTATCAGTTGCCAAAAAATATGGCAATAAAGTATTTGGTGAAAACTGGATATTTCAGCAGGATGGTGCACGAGCACATACACACCGATTGACACAATAAAGGTGTCAGGACAATTTTCCTGATTTTATTCCAAAAGAACGTTGGCCTCCAAATAGCCCAGATTTGAACCCATTAGACTTTTCTATCTGGGAGGAATTTAACTATGCTATTGATTGGAGTCGAGTAAGCTCAAAAAAAACGTCAATCAGTGAGTTAAAACGTGCAGTAAAGAGAATTAGATTTGAAATTGTCTTAGAAAGTTGTAATTCTTTTTCAATTCGATTATATCATGTTTGTGAGAATGGTGGAAACTATTATTCAAAATAAAAAGACATTATCTTATAGAAAAAAATTTTCTCTATCTTTTGAATCTATTTTGAATGTTAGTAAGTTAATATCTTAATAAAAAAACTGAAAAATAAATAGTATCATTATTTATGAATCACCCGTTATATTCTTTTTGATGTTTGTCAGCACAATTTTTTAAATAAAAAGCCATAAAACTGAGCAACCTTGCAAGTTAATACATCTCTGATACCTATTTTTTACTTGAGTCTTTTTGTGACAACAAATCCTGAGTCCTTTTAATACTCCACATCCCTGCTTGGATCATGGCTTTACTTAGATAACCTTAACTCAAACATCAAGGTTTTAAATAATCTGATACCTTATATCAGATTACTATAACCTCATACAAAGTATATCTGATACCTTGTATCAGATGTTTATCAACTTTGAAAAACAAACTACAGATTGTTTTGATTTTTGAACAAACAACACATAAATGGATATTAATGCATATAAATGGATATTAATGAATATAAAAGAGAAACACAGTTTTTTAAGATATAAACCAACATTTGTATGAAAAATTAATAATATAAAACATTTAAATCTGTAAAAATAGAAAACTTGTGAACACTTTAGTTCATTACTTATATAATGTAACAAATAGCTGTTTGAATATACTAATTATAACTCCTAAAATACATTTTTGCAACTGTTTATACATATTCAGAGTAGTACCAGGGTAATTCCATGTAAAACTGGGACAAAAAATCTAAATTTTTCAGTCACCCTCTCAGATTTCTTTCAAATTTTACCCAGTGGTACCTATCAATGTAACAAGAAAAATTGTAAAATTTGAGCTCCCAAAATCAAACGGTTCAAAAGTTATGACATTTTGAAATTCAGCCTAAAACGTTCCTTTTTTTGCTAAGTCCGCCATTATGGATTTTGTAGTTGTACTTTTTAATGTATAATTTAAAATCTAGTGGAAGAATGTGGCTAAAAATGGTTACCTGATCATTTTTGAGGGTACTGAATTCAAAAATAAAAAGCAAATAGTAAAATTTAAATTTTATGATGGTTATTTTTTGATTTTAAAATGGTCAATCCAACTTTTTGTTCTGTTACCATGGGTTGCGCTTTCATCAACTCCCGGAGTTGCCCAAACCTCATGGATTCAATTTTTTTTTCAAATGAAGTGATCCTAGGCTATCTTTATAAAAAAGATGGTTTTGGTTTCTTAAAGCATTATAAAGATATACCATTTTAAAATTTATACAAAAAAATTCTTTATTTGGACTCAAATTCTCTTTCATAGATTTTTTAGCTATAGTTTAGGTGTAAATAATTTAAGTTTTAGTTTAAAAAACTGACTGAAAATTGGTACCTGACCATTTTTGAAGATGCTGAATCAAAAGTAAAAAAAAAAAAAAACCTAATTTAAAATGTTAGACAAATGTTTTTTTTTTTTTTTTTTTAAATGGTAAAAAAGCACATTACAATAAAAAGAGGTAAGGTTTTCACGAGTTTCCTGATCGCAAGACTCTCATGGGTTCAGTTGTGATGAGTAATAAGAGTTTATTGATTTATATATAAATAATGTTTTGTGAAGTGAATTGTCATTTAAAAAAATAGTTTTGCAATGCCTGCTGTGATGTCAGATATGTTGTATAAATATAGTTTTAAAACACCAGAAACCATAAACTTAAAATTATTTTAATTTTAGATTAAATTATTAGAGAAATTAATAATTCAGTTTCTTAGTCATGGCAAACAGCCAACAGTGCTCCATTGGAATCAAACTAGAAAGTGAATGTCATCTTGCAACATATACATCATTGCTTGGAATCGAACCTTTTGAAGATATTCCTGAATATGAAAGAGAAATATTAATGTGGAGGACTGGGCTCTCAATAATCAATGTAAAACCAACAACTTGTTTACATCATAAACATGTTTATTTGAAGCGTTATGCAACTAAATTAACATGTTGCTGCTATCCATTTAATACTTATAACAAAGTTATAAAAGGTATTTATAGTAATCACAACTTTTATTTTGTGAAAATGTTGTGAGTTACAATAATGAAATTCTTTGCAACCAATTTATTTTAGCTATATTTAGCCTTACTTTTAGCTGACTTCTAAAAGTGCACTATTAAATGCCATACAAATTTAAATTTAAAATAGTATTATTACAATTTTTATACATATTAAAAGAGTTCTTCCCTTTTTTTAGGCAGTCTTCGTGAAATCAACTTGGATTCAGCAAAGTACTTATGCAGTAAAGGCTAATTCGTAGTGCCAGGTGTAAAACTGTCCACAATGCAGACATAAATTAGCATCAAGTGAAGAATCAGAAGAGAACGAGTTGGAGATAAAATTAACTGAAGATAATATGGAAAAAGAAATTATACTGGAATCAACAAGATCACTGCTCAACAGTACTTTGTGTGAACTTGAAGTGTCTCCGCTAAAAGTTCATTTACCAAAAACCTCTAACAAGCCTTCACTTGGAAAGAGAAAGATAAAGCAAATTGAAGAAGCAGTTATTAAGAAACTTGCAACTGCTCTGGATGTCACCGAATCCGATTTTGCTGCACCTAACAACTATGAAGTTCTAAAGGAAATTGAAACCAAATCAATCTAGACTTCCTTGTTGAATGCATGAAAGAAAAACTTTCTAACAGAAGGCAGCAACTTCAAATTTTGACATTGACACCGAAATCTTGGTCTATCAGAAAAGCAGCGAAAGAGTTTTCAGTTTCCAAACACAAAATTCAAAATGCAAAGCTTTTACGTGACCAAAAAAGGCATCATTGCATACCCCAATGTGGTTGAATGGCATCGAATCAGTAAAGATATCATAGAACTTGTAAAGCTTTTTTACTGTGACGAGGAGTATTCAAGGCAAATGCCAGGTAAAAAAGACTGTGTAAGTGTTGGGAAAAAAAATACATGTCAAAAAAATTGATTATGTGTAATCTAAAGAAGTTCTATGTGGCATATAAGATTAAGTACCCAGACTATAAAATTGGATTTTCTAAATTGTTGACATGCAAGAGATTGGTATCATCTGCAAATAGATGAACCAACAAGAAGTAAACAGAGTTATTTAGATCATTAATGTAAATTAAAAACAATAGATGACCAAGAACAGAACCTTGAGTAAATTATTTGTGATAAACTTGATATATTCATTTACATTAAACTAAAAATATCGATAATAGATAGCTGAATGTCCCTATAACACTTTGATGTATTGTAAGTATTTAATTGCACATTAGTGAATAAAACCAAAGTTTAAAAACTAAAGTCTTTCACAACATATCCTAGCAGGTACGCTTATCACTATTAATCACTTTTTAATATAAAAAAAATCTTATTAAAAGCTTCTTATATTTTTACCTTTTAGAGTCACATTAAACAACTATCTGATCATTTTTTTAAACATAAACAAGATAAAATTATTTTAAGTAAATTAATGAAAGATATTTGCTTACATTTATGTAGATTGCAAAATCTGTTTGAAATGCCAAAGTCTTGTTCATAAATATTTTAGATCAATGCTGGCATACCATAATGGTTTGTCAGTACTAATCTTAAATATCATATTCAAATTATATGGCAACCATATGTTGTTATCGATATCTAAAATAAAATAAGCAAAACTTTAAATTTAAAGTTTATAGTTCCACAATTGTGTGGTTTAGATAATACTACATTAAACAATTTCTTAAATAATGGGAAATTTAAAGTAAACATTTACAATTGGAAGATTTTGAAGTTCAAACTAATCTTGACTACATAATCAGTTTATTTTAAAAATGCGGTATGAGCAACTTTGTTTTAATGTACCACTTTAAATATTGTTTACTTTACAAAATAATTTTTATGCAATTTGCAATTTATTATTTTTTAGCAAATTTACAATAATAAATTTTATTTTAAGTTGTTTGTATTTAAAGTTACTTGTTATCATTAGTTATTTCTTACTTTTTACTTGTACCACATCTTGAAAATAAACTCTTCACATGAAAATGAGGATTTTATATAAGGGTTTTACTTCTAAACTTTAATGAAACTTTATTGAAAAATGTTATAAAAAAACACGAAGAAAAAGCATTGTTATTATCAACTATTCTCTATTTAACTAATGCAAAATAAACATAAATGTAAATCATGCTTATCTCCTAAGCACACATCATGAAAATATCTGACACATTTGGTGCATTTCAACCATTTTGTTTTGAATCCTTTCCCTAAATTCTTATCAGGATGACACTTTTTGCAGAAGCAGCATTTCCTTTTTACTGTTTTTTTAGTTAACCCTAATGCTGTTTGGCCAGAACCTCTAGGCCTGCCTTTTTTTAGCAACTTTAAGTGGTGGTTTAATAAGTTTTAACCTTTGGACATCTAAAGATTCATTTATCTGTTCTTGTTGATACATACTTTCAGTCGTAAAATCAATATGATAATCCTGTACTCCAGTGACTTCATCTTTTACATTGTCATCAATAAATGGACTTTCATTATTTTTGACAAAGAAATCAATATGTTGATATTCATTCATAATTGTATTTTTATTAGAAGATTCCATAGGTTCATTGTTTACTGAACTACTGGAACTACCAGGAGCCACTACAAAGTTTTCAGATGAGATAGAGGTTGTCTTACTATCTGATACTTGTTGATCTTCAAAGAAAATTTCAAATCTTTTTCCATAACTAACCATCTCTTCAAATTTATCAAAACTGCTTTAGATAATACTGGAACGTTTCTGTACCTAATTCAACCAATTTGTTTACTAGCTTATCAGAGCAAACCTTGATAAGTTTATATTTCTGAATTTTGTCTAGTGCTGGAGTTCTCCAATTAGAATTCTCTACTTTGGCATTTTCATATGGAATAGGTGAGCCTTCAAAATAATTATTCACAACATGCCATCTTGGAATAAACCAATCTAAACTTAACTTTGCATTACCCAAATATTGGGAAACTGCAATAAGATGACGACAGGGCAAACACATATTCATAAAAAATTTACAATTAAACAACTTTTCACTCACTATATATGTGTTGTCACCGACAATCACATTGTGAGTATTGTTAGATGGCAAAATTAAATCATAATGAGTACTTTTTACAAGCTCAAGCGATACATGTTTTATAGCATATGGTGTAATTATGTTGTGAAGGTAGGATAACTTGGAAAAGTATTTTTTCGTTAAACTTTTAATTTGCTTAAATTTGCACTCCTCTAAAAACATGTCATTTAAAAAAAATATTTTTTCAAGACACTGATGTAAATCTATTGGGTGAGTTATTACACTTTTCAATTTCTGATGATAAGATTCGATTCTATTATTAGTGGTGTCGCCAAAGTTTAAATGTGTTGCTCGTTTATAAAAAACCCAACGATCACGCATATGATCCCAATTATTTAAAAAGTATTCTGCAAAGCACTCATCAAGAGACAAAAGCAACTGTTTCTGTTTTTCATATATTGACTGATCTCTTGAATGACAAAGTGTATCTAGATATACAGAAATTTTTCTGTATACAGAAAGTGTATCTAGATATACAGAAATTTTTCTTTTAACATCAGTGGTACATGATAAGTCTGCAACCTTTTTCTTGAAAGCTTTTTTAACATATATATTGAAAGCTTTTTTAACAGATATACAGAAATTTTTCTTTTAACATCAGTGGTACATGATAAGTCTGCAACCTTTTTCTTGAAAGCTTTTTTAACATGAAACAAACAAATTTCACAAAAACTATTAGGAAAATTTTGCTCCAGTGTTGTTAACTCACTCATATCTTAGTCTATCATAAATGTTTTAATGGAATTCCAAGAAGCATTATAAGCTTTAAAGGTTTTAAAAATTTGACTATACATCACTTCTGACTCATTAGATCCATTCCCACCCATGCATAAAAATGATACTAGTGGCATATCACTGTTGTTGAGACAGTAGGTGGTATCAATACAAATGTGCTCAGGAAACTTACTAAATGTGGATCTCATTACACTAGTTTGAACAAATAAATACTGAAGAGTATTATCATCTGACATACCATATTGTGATACCAGTCCAAGATCACTCTCTCTTTTCTTTTCTCAACTACTTTCACTAGCAGTTCTGCAACATTTAAAACATTTCTTGAAGATGGGCATATTTTTTCCTACGATGAAAGATATTTACTTTATTGAAAAAGAATTTTACATATACATATATATATATATATATATATATATATATATATATATATATATATATATATATATATATATATATATATATATATATATATATAAACATACATTTATTTACTTATGAAAATAACAATTTATGCAATGAAATAATAGTTTTTACTTTTTGACGAATTTTATCCTTAATGTTCCAAATGTCCTTATTTACTATGGATTTTCCTGTACTCTTTCTCATTTCATCAGCAATTACTTTAGTAGTAACACCAAGACGACTCAGTTCTTTAACTTTGGCCTTCTCTTCATTTGATAGCTTTCTATTTTTGACATAGTGTTTGTAAAGATCTTGATCTGTAAAGCAAAATAATTTATTTAATCAGGTTGTATGATACTAAAAATTACTTTTTCATAATTCATTTAAATATGTAACTTTAAGGTTTTGAAAAAAAAGCTTTTCACAGCATACTTTTCTTTCACAGCAGTCTTTCATTGCACAACATTTTATTTATTCATTCTATTTAAGTGATTTTAAAAAACTTTAAATTAAAGTTTTTTGTAAATTAAACAGTACACCGTGAAAAGCTGAACTTTAATAACAGATTTACAAAACTAAATATATAAAAAATGATAAAATAACATTCATTTCAAATTTTAAATATTTTACCAATATTAGATAAATATTTTTACTAATAACATGATTGTGCGTTTCTATCATTTGTTTGATAATTATTTTTGTTCTATCTTTTGTTAAAGCAGCATAAATTTTAGCTGGACAGTTATTTTTTGCTGATCTAAAATGACAACAACTAAAAAAGTTTGTTCAAATGCTCAAATGCTCTTGAACTTTTTAATTTTATATGTTTTTGATCTAAAAGAAAAGTTAAATATTTATGAAAAGTAACTAATATAACAGTTTTTTTGTATTTTTAAAACAGATAATAATGCATATTTATAAGTGTACATAAAGTCTTGAATATGTTTTACACACACACACACACACACACACACACACACACACACACACACACACACACACACACACACACACACACACACACATATATATATATAAAAGTATATA